TGGTTTTCCTAGTATTGATGTTAGTTTTTCAAATTTCTGAATGTGATTTTGGGTAGTAGATAAATAAAAATTTAAAACTTTCTCATGAATCGTGTTTGAAAGCGTATCGAACTCGGATGGGGACAAAATAGAAGAAATTTCAAGGTGTAGAGACAGAAGAGCCTTATTGATTTGGTCTATTTCCTTACGGTTATGACGAATTCTTTCTCGAAGTAAAGCGAAACTAGATTTGCTCAGCAAAAACCGACGCAGGAGGAATCCAGAAGTTTTGTAAAAAATATGACAGTAGCCTGTGGAAGGTTCTTTGAAAAAAAAATTACCTTTTTTTGCTAAAAACGCTGTTAAACCTTCTCTACTATAATTCGGACCACCTTGGACAGACGTAACAGTACAATGATAACTTTAATTCCAGAAATTACTGTAGTGTTCTTAAACTCCCAATCAACTCTTCGAATAAAGGACCCTTCCTTTAGCTTTACGCGATACCAAACAATTCATCAACGTTCTCAGCAATTCTAAACTTCTAATTTGCATAAATCATAGAACTACTCTAATTGTGAATTTTAATTCTATAAGTGTAAAATGCTTACATTTTGAATATTCTCTCCTAACATCGTGCTCTTTCGTGCCCCGTCTCTTACGTCAAACTTTCTTGGGAATTAGGATGTTGCAGTTGGGTTGGGTGTAAAAGTTTGGAGAGTTCGCTTTAATTCCTGGAGTGTTTTAAAGTCAACGCAATTTAAGTTGGAAGTAATACTAATGGCTACTATTTGAATCTGAAAAACTTTTAAACTAACTAATTTACTTTAAAATTTAAGGTTGAAACTTGTTGCAATAATTTAACCTCGTGTAATTTTTGTTTCGTCAAGATATATTACATAATAAAATCTGCAATTTTGGGTGTTAAATTAAATGTATGGTTTTAGTCAACTTGTGTTTTTGTGTTAACGTTTTAATTTTAAGCGAATAATAAATATTACGATAAACAAGAATTTGCTAGCAACGAATGAAGCAAAAATAAATATTAAATTAGCAAATATTATGCGAAACTATTTGGTAAAAATTGTTCCCACACAATTATGACCTTAATCTTTTATTATTGTTCTGTAAAAAAATTAAACACACAAACACATGTGGCAAATAAGTTGTATTTACAACAATTTTTTTTAAATCGTGTATTATACCAATAATATTTCGGATGGGGACCACATGGCTAAAATATTTTTAATATGGTACTTTTAATGGTCGGTATTGTGGCAATTTATTTTCGACACACGTAGAGCTACAGTGTTGCCCATTTATCATGATACCTTATCTCATAATCTGTAAAGTATATCAAAAAACTTAGAGACAGTAGTTTTTTTATTTATATTATGCTCTTTTGGGTGTGTTTTTTTAGTATACAAGTAACAGCTTTTTATATTTTAAGAACACCATGTATATTAAGCATTTTCTGACATATTTTAAATTTTTTTGACGTTTGAATGTCGAAATATATTTATCGATTTCTCCGACTGAAAACCTTTGTCATATATTTGAAGTTAATTTAGAAGGGCACTGGTTTAGTGGTCTGTATTATTTATATTTAAACAATATGTTAAAACAGGGTGTTTCAAAAGTAACATTAAAAATTTTATTGAGAACGAAACACAATGGAAATAAAACAATGAAGCACTACAGAAACGTCACTATTTTGGCTTGCTGAGGTGAAGTGTCATTCCATATTTAACGGGCCACCCCGTAACTATATCTTACTATACAGAATTTGTTATAATCTCAATGGATAATAATTAAATAATAAAAACTGGACTTGAAACTGCACATCTGCTTGTTTTTATTATTTATTAAATCGGACCTAATCATAGTGACGTGCTAAAAAAATATTACGGTCACTTGCAATTTGTAAAATATAAAATAACTATAACAAATAACTATTGCTTATTTATTTGAATTTCCTGTAATCAGTAACAAATTGAAAAATTATAAAAATTCTGTTTAGGTAAATTTATTGACATACATAGTTAAGTTAACCTTTCAAAATTATACTTCAAATGTTAATGAAGCAAAATCAGAACAAATTTCCGTATTTAATAAATGATTCAAATTCAAAACAAAAAGCGTACAGAAATCCAACCAAATTATAGCAATATTTTTTTTGTTTTTCAGATTCTACAGCGACACACGTGTTTTGTTTGTTAATGTATTCTAGCTCTACCCTTTTTTAATTTATTTTTTTCCTATTCGCTGATATTATTCTGAGCTTCGGATATAATTTGCTAATCCTTAGCTGTGGAAAAATCCAGACCAAAATTCATAGTTCATCATATTCTATAAACAGAAACCTTGGCTTAAAAACGAATTAAATTTGTTTCAGATTTTTGAAAAACTTATATAGGTGGCGGCAAGTGATTTATAATGCTCCAGTTATACCACATTTATCATAACCTCTCTCTCGTTTCTCATTTTCGCATGAATTTCAGACATTTGGAGGTGACATACGAATGGACAAAAGTTGAAAATACACTTACTGCTCCTTGCTGAATATTTATGTCATGGTTAGTTAACCGGACGCATTTCTTAGCGCAAAATGCTTAACGGAAATATCTGGTACGATAAAGCGGTTTAAACAAAAACCTTGGATAAAATTTGGATTATTCAGTGGAAACGCTGGTTTTTAGATATGAGTCTTAATGGGTCTCCACTGATAATTCTCTGAATTAAAGAAATGCACTATAGACAGCAACCGTGGAGCAATATACGATTTTACATGTAAATTTATTTAAATTAATGTTTAACTCGGTTGGTATGCTTGTCTAGTATGTATAATGAACGATAAAATGTGTTAATATAAATTCTGCCACAATAGTAGGTTTGTATCACCAAATGAGAACTTCGTTTGCTAAGTCAAATATTCTTGTTTCACTACCTTAGCTAAAGGAAATAGATGAATGCAGATAGGCATATATAAACAATGGAACATAATTTGAGGAATTACGAAAGTCATGAGTTGCATGCTATTTGTATGAATAAAGCGAAGTGCCAAGTTCAATACTGAAGACGACTGTGAGGTATCTCACGTAAGGTATGTATAACCTGTAGCAGTAATTGAGAATTTTTCTAAATTTAAGAGAATTTTCAGATTGTTCACTTTTCAAATATGCAGGGTGGAACCCCTATATTTTATTGCGGTTTTGGATTTAGTGATAAAAATAAACGTAATATACAGGGTTTTATAATAAAAAAAGACTCGCGACATAGACTAAAAAATCACGAAAATTCATTAATTTGCTGATTTTTCATTAACAAATGACACAACTTTAAATATTTTCTAAATTGTGCAGCAATTAAATAGGTCTTTTTTGTTTTTAACACTAAATCCAAAAACGCAATTAAATATAGGCTGTTCTATTTAAAATTCTAAACTAACCGTCTAAAAATTTCCTAGAACACTTGCATTTTAAAATTTCTTGACAACCATTACGGGTTATGTGAGACATCCGGTGTATATAGTCCAACAATCTAAGACAAATGAATTCACCAGTTTCCATAAAATATTCCATTAGCCAAGATAGCAAATACACCTGCCGTACTTAACAAAGTTGAAAGCATGAAGAAATCTCAATTACGACATGATGTTAAAGCAGATATTTGTTTTAAAGTCGAACTCTTTCAAGTATCGCATAGTAGTTGCTTGAGTTTTAAAATGGTAAAACATACGATGTCCTCACGAGCCAAATGTTTGTCTTTCTTTAAATTACACTCAAGAATTACAAAAATATATATCTACTTATATATGCAATCTTTCATAGTATATCTATGTATGGTGTACCATTCTGTCACACGAAACATTCTGTTGTATAAGCTTAACTATCTTTTAAAATGTACTATTAAACGAGAATAAATAAAATCTTGAACAGATAATGTTCAAGAAACATGGTAAACTGTAGTGAACAGAATATAACTCACAGGTCAAATTAGAAGTTGCCTTGATAGTTTACTATATTTCAAATATTGTTTATATTTCTAGTTGGTATAATAAAATACAAACAAACGCATCTCAATTGACTAGATTTTGCGACATAATCCCCGAATCAGCTAAAATTCTGCTATTTTAAAAACTATCAAAATTATATTATTATGTTGAACTCCGACTGGAATCCTGCATATATATATATATATATATATATATATATATATATATATATATATATATATATATATATATATATATATATATATATATATATATATATATATATATATATATATATGTTGAACTCCGACTGGAATCCTGCAGACGATTCGCCAAAATCAGTGTTCGAAGTCATTGAAGATGCCAAGTGAGAATTTGGCGAAACGTCTGCAGGATTCCAGTCGGAGTTCAACAAGCGAACGGATGATATCGCGGAATATAGTGTCATCACATTTTTCCATCCGTGAATCAATACGTGAAAATTGGTATTTTATTTCATATATTATACAGAAGTTGTGAGTTCCGCAATGAAAACCCGAAACTCCATAAAAATACAGGCTGTTCTGTCAAAATTTCAATGTTAGTAGGTCAAAATTTGGAAGAAATTCAGCTTGAACCCTACAACTTTTTTTTTGGAATGAGAAGTGGACTTAAATGTCAAATCAAAGAATTTTTTTTTATCTTAGTTTTCAAGACATTAAGCCCCTAAATACACAACTTTTATCCTATCCAATTGACAAAATACTATTACTCTTTTTTAATAATTATTATAAAACTTCTCGACTGGAATTAATCACCTTCAACGCCATAAGAAGTGCATTATTTTTTAAGATAAATAGTTTCGTATCCGGCCACAGTGCTGTTGCAGGGTAATTTAGAAAAGTTTCAGTTTCGATACTCACCTCGTATTTCAGTTATTTTAAACGTATCGAATAGGTAAAAAGATGCCTTTTATTGCTGAAAAAAATTAAGTCGAATATTGTACAGCCGTTAAAACGGAGTTTATATGCGCATTATTTTTTTACAGACTCCATCGATTTAGACCTGGGGGACGAATCAGACAATCTAAACGAGCTCGGGGTGTCGTTTTCTCCCTTGGAAAGTCCCCCGGTTCACTTCGCGACTGAGAATAACAGCGTTGTGATGGCTCAAACGGGGTCGACTGCTCTGATTCCATGTGTCATCAATAATATTGGGGACGGAATGGTAAGTAAATGGAAAGAAGCATCCATGCGCGACCTGGAAAATAATATGCAGCGTAGGCAAATAAAGTTAAATGTCAAAGATTAGAATATTCAACTCTAATAATAATAACGTTTGTGTTCGAAAAATCAACACTACAATAGTACAATACACAGGTAACGAAAGATAACATTAAGTTGTCGATCAGTGGCAAATATCCACTATTTTGTTTTTAAATTAAATTATTTAGAATTTTGAGTTTCTTGTATATACGAGGTGTGTTCAAAAGGTAAGGTGACTTTTAAGTTTTATCGAAAAGTATTTATTTACTAAAATTAATTTTGTCCCCTTCAAAGTAATCCCCTCCAGATATAATACACTTGTGCCAACGTTTTTTCCAAATCCACGACGCACTTCCGGTAAGCACTTTCTGATATAGCCTTGAATTGGTCCAGCCTTCCTTCCATGGGTTTCTTGAGTTTTGGCAACAGGAAAATGTCGCCGGGGGCCATATCCAGTTAATATGGTGGTTTTGTTTTTTGCCAAAAAGTAAGACACAAGCAACGAAGAGGGAACAAAATCGTGATCCAAAATCCATGAGTTGTTTTACCACATTTCCGTTTTCTTCGTATTGCTTCTCGCAAACTGCGCCTAATATCAAGGTAATACTCTATTGACCGTACGACCTTGTGGTAACAACTCTTGTACAACGCCACGATAATAAAAAAAAAACAGTAACCAAAACCTTGAGATTGGCGATTCTGGGTTCTTCCAGTGGGACGACTGGGATTTGGTTTCATAACCATATACCCATGATTCGTAACCACTTATGAACTTTTTGGATTATCATTGACGTCGTTTAATAGCTCTTTAGCGATGCTCCTTCGTTGGCCTTTTCTTCAAAATTACGCAGTTTCAGAACAAATTTTACTGCTACACGTTTCACGCCCAAAACTTCGGTAAAATTGCATGAGTCAATATTGATGCCGACTTCTTCACCCACTTCTCTAGTATTGTTTCGACGTTTTTTCAATACCATTTGTTTCACTTCTTCAAGGCTTTCATCAGTTATTGACGTGCTAGTGCGTCCAGAGCGAGGTTCGGCATCGAAGTCTTCTCTTGGAACAGCTTGTACCACTTATAACCTTTTTTTTTTGCTCAAAGTAGATCCACCATATGCCGTCATCAAAATTTCAAGTGTTTTGTAGCACTGTATTCCATTTTTTTTTGCTCAAAATTTTATCCAACTTCTTTGTGGCTGAAACTGTGAACATATGTTAGGAATATGTGTACCAATATAACAAAAAAAATCAAACATCGAATGTACGTAGCCTGCTCAATTACAAAAGTCACCTTTCATTTTGAACACACCTCTTATGTTTGTAGCATGGATGCAGACAGCTGACGTAAATCCAAGAGGCCACCCTCCTAAAACAGCAAATTTTTTTGAGTATAATTTTGATTTGCGAAATATTACTTATGTAAACCATTTTTGTAGAATCTTAAGATTTTTAACATAGTTTTCCGAAACTCCACCCTAGCCCACTATGCCGTATGATATGTGCGTTTCTATTAAGGACGTATCCACAGTTTTTGTTGGATTGTTAAGAAGTCTCTTGAGTAATAAAATTTAAAGAGTAACCCTCTAAGCTTATAAACTACATTGGCGAAGTGTAAATCCTATGTAAGACAGCTGTCTATAGTAATACCGAAATATTTTATAGATTACCTTTCAGGAATAGTAATATTATCATTTACTGTTAAGTTGCCTAAATTTGGCAGATGATTTTTAATGATGAGAAATTCATATATTTGGTTTTATCAAAATTTAGAGTCAGATATCCTTTACAATCAAAAGTTTGAATTCTTTGTTTTTTGTTGAAACACATCATTTATATACAAGGTAAATAAAATTTAATCTTATTAATATTGACGCACCGTCCCCTAATAAATATTTTTTTAGTAAATTAAAAAAATTTCCTCTGAAGCCGTATTTTTATAATTTCCCAAGTAACTTAGTATGGGAAACTGTGTCTGTCGAATGCGTTGGACAAATCCACAAAAAGGCACATATATGCGAGGATGACTTCGATCGCATCGAAAATATTTGATGTTAAAAATCTGATAGCATCTTGCTTAGGCCGATTCATCCTCGTCATCATTTGGGCTTTTATAAGACTCTCCAATATTTTAGTACAGGCTGATAGCATTGATATTGGGCTATAATTACGGATTTTATCTCTGTTTCCGCTTTTGTATAAATTTTCATAATATCGTTTTTGAGATACTTTGGAAAACACTCCTGCTGAAAGCTCTTATTTATTATATATTTATTATATTATATATTTTGCTTTTTTCAAGTAAATAATGGTTTTTAGTTTCAAATGGGATTTTGTTTAATTAAAGATTAATATTTTAAATGTTTTGCAGTGCTTATCAGCCTGCAACTTATTTTGTTTTTTTATTGCCTTGTTATTACTTAATGCTATTTGTCTTACTAATACTAAGGCTGCTGTTTTTAGAAACCAGTCAGGAGAAACATAATCGTTTCTCCATATTTACTCCAATTTCACAGAAAATCGTGCCTATTGTATTTACTATTGCCAATAGCCAAGTAATTTAATTATTTTAGCAAAAATAACTTTAGTTCGTTAGTTTATTTAGCTAACAGGATGATTGGCGAAACGTCAGCAATTTCGACTCAACAAAAACCGATGCAGCAAGAATCCCGAAGTTTTGTAAAAAGTATTACATTTGCCTGTGGAAGTTACTTTGAAAAATGCTAATATGAACTTTTCCAACTAATTGACATTAAACAGATTAGACAGGTATAGATGTAATATGATTCAAATTATGTAAATAAACGAATATACAGCATTTTGCAATATTTTGTTTATTGCAGTGTATATAAGTTAATGTGGGTTATTTCTAATATTTGGAGCTGCAACGACGAAATAGGAGCTGAGAAATATTGCTAGTAAGAAAATGCCAGACAATGCATCTCTCATTTGTCACATTCGCAAGACAGTAATATCAAAAGTGTGAAAACCATCAATGTTTTAACAGTCGATGATTGTATTAGTGACCTTATGACACATTTTCAATAATATTTCTTACAAAACTTCTGGATTCCTCTTGCGTCGGTTTTTGTTGAGTCGAACTTGCTAACGTTTCGTCAATCATCATGTTGGCTTCTTCAGAGCTTGACTGAAAATGGCTCGCATTTTGCTCTGTACTTGCTTTAATATTGTTTAAGGGGGCGGAGCTAAATGAGGGGCATAAACACCGTCTCGGATGACTGATTCCCATATTGGTGACAGGTAAAAACCTGAGTCGCGGTTAAGATTGTTAAGTTGTTTATAGATTTCTATAGATTCAAGGATTTTTCCTTGGTGGAAGAATTGATTACTTGCAAAAATGATGACTTTATTTATCTTAGTCTTAAAGCATGTTCTTTGGGTTCAGTGACTCGGGCTGAAATAGTTGAACCACTCTGTAAACAAGAGAGTTAATAAACGATGATTTTTGGGCCGGATGGTGATGTGACAATGTGACAATGGTATCGGTCTGTGTGCGTAGGTTTTCTGTAAACACGATGAGCCAATGTTAGATCTGATTTTCTATAAGAATATCTAAGAATGGGAAGTTATTAACATTTTCTAATTTAATGGTAAAACGTATGTTATGCTATATAGACTTGAAATGTCTAAGAAAATCTACTAGGGATTCATGACCATGAGGCCAAATAACAAAAGTATCTTTGAGCTGGCGTTTTCACAATTTTGGTTTTTAGGTGGTGTCGAGAGCTTTCTTTTCAAAGGTTTCCATAAATATATTCGCGATGACTAGTAATAGTGGACAACTCAATTTGACGGTTATTATTATTATGATTATAAATTGCAATAACTTCCTTGGTGTTTCCTTCATGTTTGAGCTAGGCTCGGGCTGGTGGAGAGAAATTTCACTCTTTTCCACTTGATCATCTTTTTTTTTCTTTTCATAGTTCTGCCCTCTTCTGAAACTTGCGCGTTATATGGCATGTCTCAAGAATTACGCATTTTTACATGATTTCGTACAATCGTGTTGATAAGTTTAGTTTATCGATATTTTCCTTTTCCTGAAATTCTTATAGGGATTATCTCGACTTTTTAAGTTTCCAGACATTTTTGATCTCTCTTGCCAGGTTCTCATGCTTTGTAATTTTTTCGAACTGCGTTTTAGAAACGTTGTCACTAAGTGGGCATGCCACATCCTGACACGATGTCAGGTTGGTTGAAATCTACAGTCTATCGGTGGTTATCGACCGGTCCCAATAGAGTAGGTGGGTGTTGGATTCCAGTACAGGTTTTGGTGAGCATTGATAATAGGGCGGGGGGTTATAGAGGAGGCCATATTTTTTTGCTAGTTCTATGCGGACAATTTTTGCAACTTGGTTGTGGCGGCCAAGGTATGCCGTGTTGGATAGCGCTGGGCAGCCCGCAGTTCAATTGTTTCTCTAAGCTTACCACATTTTCGGCATATTATTATATATTATATTATATATTATTGTTATCTTACGTTCTCAGATTTTTTTTATTACATCTCCATGAATGCGGGATGAAAACGGTGTTAATGAAAACAATATTCATTTATATATTTCGCAATGTATCAATAACCATCTGTATAATTTAAACGATATCATTTTCATTTGTGCCAGAAAACCCTAACACCTCGATTTATGGATAGCAAAACGTAATTCCGGTATTTTTCTCTGTCCGACCAAATACACAGTTTTAAACCGAATTCATTACTGCGAAATTTACATTTAAATTAAAATGGTAATTCGCTATATGAACCAACGGTTTAAATAGAAAAATGTTTTTTAATAAAGACTAAATATGGTGTTATTTACGTCGTTCGTTCAAGGTGTCACTAACGGTATTGTTTTGGTAACGTATGTTGCCTGTTCGCGATTAAATATTTAATTAACCACATTCCGTTTTAGTTTTGGATTTTTAAATAACTTTCGACAAAACATATGTAGA